CATATAGATACAAATCATTTAGTAGTCACCTCTAAAACTATTATTATATTGAACTGAACAGCATCAATAAGTTTTAATCAGCAAGTGAGGTTTTACTAGTGCAACTTTTAACTTGAAATTTCTTAAAGCACATGAATTATCACTATATTAGCATATTGTAATGATGTTATTGAAAGCTCCAGAAAACAATACATTTAACATGTAAAAAAAAAAAAAAGGGAGCACAATAAGTGTATATTCTAGTGGTGAACACAGAAGCTGTGTTGTACAATTTCAAGTCTGTTAAAATATATCTAATGTTTATAATTCATTTTGAAAACTGAGACATTTTTCAGAATAATGCTCATGTAATGAAAGTAAGAAACTCAATCTAACAGCACAGGTACATTATAAATTATAAACACAAATACCTTTTTTTTCTGGCCCTTTTGGTGTAGGTTTGGAAGTTTCTGTTAAAGATGACTTGGCAGTTCCTGGTAAAGATGGTTTAGAAGTTCTTGACATAGAAGGTTTGGCAGTCTTAACTTGTGATGTTGTATTTGGCTTTTGTGAAGAATTTACTGATTTCTGACCACTTGGCTTTTGTGAAGAATTTACTGACTTCTGACTGCTTGGCTTCTGTGAAGAATTTACTGATTTCTGACTAGGAGCTGAAGGCTTCTCAGTGACTATCTTTGTTGCCTAGAAACAAATTCATAAAGATCACTTTCATTTAACTAAATAAATTTAATAATATGCAAATTTAAAAAAAATGCATTTGGTAAATTTTCATTTTTATTACTTAACTGCATTGTTGCTTGTGGTGCAATGAATTCTAGCTTAGTATACACACTGCATTTACACAAAGCCTATATAATTCTGTGGTTAAGTGTCCATTAGATAGACAAGAAAAAAAAATTGTCAAAAACATGCCAGTGTTTCTGATGGTCTCTTTATAGAAGTTACCTTTGTTATTCAAGACCCCAAACATACGAGCTGATAACACAAGCTAATTACTCATTGTTTTTAGCAACATCATCATCATCTTGGAGAATAAAGATTAAGCCATAAAAATTACAATATTAAAATATATATGGAAGCTTACTGATAAAGAGAACTATAACGTCAATATCTATAACTTATACAAAGCTTATAAAATGTGATATCCCACGAGTAAAAAAAAATCAGCTTAAGTGCCAATACCTGGACATGTCAAATATGAAAATAACATTTAGTGCCCAGCATTATTGGGTACCTTTGTTACATTTTTAGATAAACTTGATTGTTTTAATCATTATTCACTACAGGGTATGATCTTAACATATTTTGCTACTTATCTCCTTCATCAGTTTAATCCTCGTTTGCAGCATTAAGTTAGTTAAATTCAAAGGGGTACCAAACTTCAACCATCTGTCTGGTTACTTATCCATTTAAACTTGATTTATAGGGATCCATGAAGTTTCTCTAGCATATTTCATTTAAATTGACTCATTCACTCACTTATAACTTGTAACATCAGGCAGATGGATGGATAACCATGAATTTTAAAGAAGATGGGGATAAAAGTGAATATAAAAGGCTAGTTAAAAAATTATCTCTATAGGTGTGGGAGATAAGGCAGCTTATTGAATAGAGAAGTGGCTGGATGGAAGACAAGAAAGCAGAGAATTGATCTAAATGGAGTTTCAACAAATTGGATTAATGTCACAACTGGGGTGCTTCAAGGATAAAAGTGTTAAGATATTTGTTTTTTTAATTTATACGGATGATATAAATGAAGGAATTACTTAAATGTGGTGATGACTGTTGTAATTTGGTGTTTCATCAGGCACGGAAGGTTCTGTCTACACTCCCACTGCAGCAGTGGAAGGTAGTGCAGCAGCATAAGTCTGAGAAGGAGTTGGGGAAAATAATTTCCGAGCCTCAAGAAAAGAAATGTTGTTCACAGTTCACAGATGCTGTACCTCTTTCTCCTCCACCCTCCTTCTCCAGTTCACACAGCAAGGGTCCAGCTCATACTCGTAGGGATCATGGTCTTTGCCACCACAACAAACACACATTGTGGCAGGAAAGACAATCCACCACAAGGTTGAAAGCACCCATGACATGACACGAATGTGTTGCACTTGGGCCCAATACAAGAGATCCAATGTGCGAAAACAGAGGGATCTCTACTGAGTGCCACCTTGGTGATTGATATAAGCCACCACCATGGAATTGTCAGAATGGATCATTACCAGACAAGGTTTGGCAATGTAAAGAACATGATCTGAAGCCTGACAAATGGCTAGGAACTCTAAAATGTTTATGTGTAAAGATTGTTTGTCTAGAAACAAACAACCTGAAGCCTCCTGGTGATCAACCCATGCACCCCAGCCCTAAAAGAATAAAACCCTGGTGAATAATGTGAAACAGGTTCTATAGCCTGGTGGGGAGGAGGTCCTGTACCACCTCTGATAGATGCTGGCAAGTTACTAGATCCCGAGGAGAAGGGAAGGAAACATATACCTGGGACAAGGAAGATGAGGAAAATAACAGAATTTTGAATCCCTGAAGAACCCAAACATCTGAGATGAAATGACACCACTGATGAAAGAAAGATGCAAAGCGATCTTCCACTGGGCCCTAACCCACCAGATAGTCATCGGAACTGTTGGTGGTGTATTGTCAATTGTCAATTAAAACAGTGAGCCATAACACTGCTAGAAGGAGGGATAGGTAAGATATGGGAAAGGGAAGGTTTGGGAAGCTGAAATAAGTGCCTCACTTGGCTCTGATTGAGATAAACGAAAAACTACATGGGAAATGGTGGATTGTTACTGTGCATATGCC